GCAAGTTCCTGGAGGCGCATCGGGGGAATCAGGGCACAGAGCACAGCTCTCGACACGTCACTTGGGCTCGGCCGACGTCTGCTGTCATCACCCCCCCCTCCCCCAGGAACAACGTGCCACTGCAATACACTGTGAATAATTCATGTACAGAGAGAGGTTTGTGAGAAACTTGCAGTCCTGCCAAACGGCCCCCCAACGCAACTGGGGGTCCCACACTAATGCCATCACGCCAAGGACTCACATGGCAAGCACGGCTCATGGGGTCAGATCGGAGCAGAATCTGAAGGAGAGGGGGGGTCTGGAAGACCTGTACAGGCCCCATACAAGCCAGTGAACTAGGCTAGTTATGCTGCTCGGTCCACCGATCGATCAGCATCGGTTGATTAATCAGACTAGATTGCCGATATAGTGGTGGCTGCGCAAGGCTGCACAGCTGCGCATGGCTGCGTATGGCTGCGCATGGCTGCGTATGGCTGCGTGACTGACATGCAGTCACGCTGAGCACTCACTGCGTCATTGTGGCTCATCAGTACCTACAGTAGTGAACCTGCGGGAAAACCAAAGGTAAGACCTGTAAATTCCTCCCGCTTACATCAGTTTTACTTGATGAATGATAACGCCACAAAGCCAAAACAATCTCAACTTTTAAACATATTTTCTTACTGTGCTCAAAAATTAAATCATGAAACGCCAAAGAAATAGCACTGAATGTGGTTAAATTATCTTTATTATTTTGTATAACTTTTAAAATGCTGCATGCCCTTGAAGTGTGATTAATATTTAAATTGTTTTTGTATGTTAATGTAAAATAAATACGTAAAAGTTAAAGTTGTGTTAGTCATTTATTTTTCTATTATAAAAAGGCATAATATTGGCCCTCGCCCCATCGCCTCAAACAGCCCCCCCCCCCCAAGAAAAAAAAACAGCATCAGCCACTGAAAAAGCCATATTGGTCAACCTCTACTCTGTACTACATGAAGCCCCCAGGAGTCCACGTGTACCTTTAACTGGGTGACATCAGGGAATCACCCAAGTTTGATAGGTAAGGAATTATACGTAATTAGTGAATTAGCAGCATTTTGTCATCTCATAAAACAAGCTTCAACCCTCCTGCCCCCCCCCCCCCTTCCACCCCCACGCATCCTTTTCTGCTCTCAGATGCTTAATTTTTCCACAATACTCGAAGGAAAAGAAACACGATGATGAGAAGATGGTTACGGGGAATTTGGAAGCCGTTGTGCTGCGACTGACCCAGATGTCAGGAAGCAAAGTGGGGGGGCCTCATTTATAAAGACAAAACCCCCCTGATGTGCAGAGGTGGGGAGGTAAGATCCAAAAAAAAAAAAAAAAAAGATTGTGTTTCAACCAACCAGTCGAGTACTCTGTGATTGTGATTCTTTATACTCAACTGGTTGGTTGAAACAAAATGTTGACCTGAATTTTTACTTTCTGGACCAGAACTACCCACCCCTTCTGCTGTGGATTTCCATGACAGAATCCATGCATTATTATAAATAATTTTATAGGCAGACAAACATCTAATTAAGGTTTGTAAACAGAGTGTAGCCACCTGCTTCAGAGGTATGATCAGTAGAAGAGCAAGTCCTAACGCACGTTATGTCAGAACCACCCGGAAACATGCTTCAAAGGCACCTCTACTCACTCGTTACAGTAACCAACGTAATCACTATTGATGTTACACCCAGCTGTGAAATAGAGATGTAATCAACACTGAGGTATGATCACATGACAGCGGTCCACAAATACTTTTTCCCTGTCATCTGCAGTACCGTGAAGATGGTCAGCGACTTACAAGACGGGGCATGCAGGTTTAAATCTAACACATACAGTAGGTACTGGCAGGTCAAATCTGGCTCAGGTTTTTATTTTGATACCAAATAATGACAAAAAAATTCAAGTCGTCATCATCTTTAATGGCTTTCGAGACATGGCTATTGGGGTACACCCTGACCTGACGAGTGGAGACCTCACTTTCATTTGTACAGCGTTGAGTGTGGGATTTTGCCACAAATCTCCTGAAAAACTTTGGTTTTCAAGCTGTATTTTGCTACCTAATTTATTGGGTTTTTTTTACGGGCATCTGAGAAAATTGAGGATGAAATTGACAGATTTTTGGTTGAACTGTTGAAAAATCATCCATGGATAATTCCAGTGCGGTTTTTGTAAGAAACAGGGCAGAGGTGGGAGGGGGAAAAAGTAATAAATAAATAAATAAATAAATAAATAAATAAATAAATAAATAAATAATTTTGTGGGGGAAAAATTATTTAAATGTGATATTTTGGGAGAATATTTTGAATTTTGAAGTCGTTTGAAGAATTTTGGGCCAGTTTTTACATTTTCCTCCAGCGACTGCGCTGACTGCACTGACTGCACTGACCTGCTGGTACTTGCAAACACACCATCTCCAAGCTGCCAATTCCACGTATCTTAAGTACAAACACAGAAAGTCGATTTAACAACCCGGGAGCCTCGACCTGCCCTCCCTCCAGTTCCACTGTCACCATCTGCGCAGACGGTGCTGCTCTGCTGTCTGATGGAAGCTGACATTTACATGCCGGAGTCGTCCGGATTTCAGATTAATTATATGATACGATGATGTGTATGTGGCCGCAGCTGCAGGGGTCGATGTCCCTGCGCATCGGAAAGGCAATCAAACACTAAAGAAGGATGGAAAGGGGCAGAAAACAAGCCCTGTTAAGTGATGACTGACCTTCACACAGCAGCCCGATGGTGAGGATGAAGGACAATGGCCTTAATTACATAAAGGCACTAATCTCTTTACCAGGTAAACCTTCAGATTCAGCGTTTCCACACATACGGCAGGAAGCGTGAGGGGAATGAAGGCAGCACAAAGCAGCTGGATGGACGGGGGGGGTTTGTACGTTGACCCTAGCGGGGCAGAACCTCCTAGCACAATGCCTGGAAGCACCTCCACAGTGCAGGGGGTTGGCAGTCTTCCAGAGGGACATTGGCAGCAGACGCTCTCGCCAGCACGGCGTCCCGTAACGCGGCCGGAGAACCATGCCGTCAGCCCGATGACAATGACACGTCTGTAACGAGCGGTCGTCACCGGCATGACGCTCCGAGACGGGCCGCAGCTGTGAGTGACGCATTCGGCCGGCAGGGTCCTACTCGGGATGCCACGCAGAGAAACGCGCATTGATTACAGAGTGTGAAACATTGTGTTTTGGCCCCCAGGTAAGCAGCCCCTCATCCTGCCATCTGGGCTGTGACTGTGTCCCCTGGGCTGTGACTGTGTCCTCGACCCCCAACCCCCCACCCATCTGGAGCCCCCACTCCCACCTGGGCGTTGTCAATTCGTCATCTTTTGTGTACCTTCCTCTCCCCACCCTCCAGTCTGTTAAACCCGAAACCCGAATACAGCCCCCCCCCCGCCC